GTCCGTCTGCTTTTTCGTCCCTCTGTCCGTCTGCATATCTGTTGACCAGTGACTTTTTTTCATCCAGTAACCATCACTTAAATGTTGGATAATGATTTTAGTTTTGTATGAGTGGGCAGGCTAGGAGTGTTGGACAGAGAGCTGTCGAACCAGCCGCTCAGATCTGATCTAATCAGTGTTTTTTTGGTTTGTTTACTTGTTTGTTTTTCTAATATTTATATCTAATATTTTTCATTTAAGCTTTGGTAGATGTTTAACACTCAAGTTTAGTATCATACAGTCTTTTTTTCATATTTGGTTCTTGTATGAAAAATGTATAAAGGTGTTTAAATACTTTTGGTTATACAGTTTTTTGATATCAAGAAAGCTGCAATTGTGCTGTCCATTTTATCTTGACACGGCCGTCTTTGTGGTGAGGGTGAGGTGTGAACTTTTTTCACAACAAAGGTTTCTCATATATATACATATATATATATATATATATATATATATATATATATATATATATATATATATATATATATATATATATATATATATATATATATATTTGAGAATGGCCACTAGGGGGCCTGCAGAAAGAAGCTATGTTTTGCACTAGATGTATGAGGTTAATGTAGCTAACACATAATGGAAGATTATAGCTACCAGCTACCAGATTATAGCTTTCCAGCATTGTGGAAACTATGTCTTAATCCTCACATGTTGGTGGCTGTATACTTCCATCACTTGTTAGCTACTTCAGTCTTGTGTACAATTGTAAAATTGTGATTTTTAGCTGAATATCACTTGTGTGTTATTTTGACAGGCCTGAAATCTTCTTAGTAAAAGAGTAAAAGATTAAGTATTTTGAGTTGAAGCATGATCAGCTTCAAATACTGAATCTATTATTAATTTAATTCCCATTGGTTAAATATAAATAACATACATGTGAGTATTAACTAACCATTAATTAACCATTAAGAGTATTAACTCAACACGGCGGAAGATTGGGGGGGCAAGATGGTGCTTATTTATGCAGCAATGCTGCACCTGTAGTCTTTAAACACAGCCAAGGAACAAATGTAGACAAGCGTTTATATTTGAAACTGTTGGTGAATTCTTGATTGTATGTCTCTCGTTTGGTGACTAGATTTTACTTTTTTGAGAAAACTTGGTCCTATGGGCAAAGGCAAATGTAAATAGCAACCTGTTGCAGCTAATGTGGCTAACATCTCCTCCTCTCCTGTGTCAAACGATGCTGATACAATAGAAGAAGAAAGCACTGTAAGCTTCTCCACAAAGGACGCAAACAAATCTTTTCCGCATCTTCCTGGCACTCCAATTACGAGCTCTGTTTCAAAGCGAGGTAAAACAGCACCTTCAGAATCTGATTTGAGTACAGTTCTGTGTTCCAGTCAGTCTCTCTATGCTAACTGTGAAGTCATATTCGAGAAATTTGCAGCAACGTATGTAACGGTCAAAACACCGACCACACTCAGTAGAACAACTTCTTCAAGATAGTTCCAGGCATACAGAGAAGATTGAGGTGCTCTATAAGACCACCCTCATGCTGACCAAAGAAAACAAAGAACTGAAACTCAGCTTTTGAAGGCTAATAGCTACAAACGCAGATGGAGGCTCAGGCTACATGGCGTTAAGGAGAGCAACCAACAAGAGGACACTCGCCAGCTTGCAATCAAGATCCTTGCTGAGAAGTCGCCTGAGGGTGTGGAATCAGGAGGAAGAAAGGAGACAACTTGATGAGAGCTGTATTCATACAGTTCAGCAAGCAGCTTTATCAACACGTGATACGGAAAGATGCAAAGGTTCAAAATACCTCAAAGAAGCCCATCTACGCTTTAAATAAAACCTGTCACCAGAAGAAAAGGCAGATAGGGCCAAAGTGTGGCATGAGAGCCTGGCAACAAGACATCTTACAGAGGTGCCTTTGCTTACATCGAAGGTAAAAGAGTGGTCACTGACGAACTATAGAGGATGCAACTGTAAGACAACTGACTGCTAATTGCTGCTGCTACGATTAATCATAGTGCAGTCTTACAGGTGTTTCAGACGAAAGTTTTAGTCTGGTCACATGATGGCGAGTCTGTCTGTTCAGCATTCAGCCGGGTTTAATTTCAGTTTGAGAGATTTTGCAGGTTCATATTTGTTGCATTGGTTTTATGGATAATATAAATTTTGATAGATTTTGGGAAATTACATTTTCTGCGCTTGTTTGAGATTTGAGAGGCATAACTAAAGAAAGGCACTTTTTCTTTTCAGTAAACATAATGAGGCTCAAATAATTTTTTTTTCAAGAATCACTTTCTTGTGATGCTGATTCTAAATGTTGGGAAGCATAGTGGGGGGATGCTGCCTTTTGTCATGGTGCAAACTATTCAGCTGAGGTTGCAGTTCTTTCACATAAATTTATAGGGCATATATTGTAGACGATCTACTCAGTTTTTATGGCCACAATCAAAGTTCAGTTTATTTAAACATGTTTCAGAAAACTATTACTAAGACTGCCAGTGATAAAAAAAATATGAGGCTATTATATTTATATTATATATTTATGGATAAAGTTAAACAATCTGCTGATATATTTAAAAAGTAAGGATATGAACTATACTCAGAATTGCAAATGTTTTAAATTTAAAATTAGGCAGTTAGCTGTGCAGCATGGCAAAGAGATAAAAGCTTCAAAATCCCAAAAGCTTTATTCAGTACTTTCTAAAGAATCATTTAACACCGAGGAAGAAACAAAATTACATCTTTGCTTTGCAAGGAAATTGATGACCTTAACATGGAATTAGCTAAAGGTGCCTTTATAAGATTAAGAGGAAAATACTTAGAGGAAGGGGAGAAAAACATTAGCTTTTTTTTTGCGTTATAAAAAGAAAAATAACAAAAGGAACTCCATACCAGCCTTAATTATAAATGGTAAGATTCGCAAATCTCCTTCCAAGTCCCCAGGCTCTGATGACTTATATATATATTATGTACGTTGTTGTGTAAAAAGTATTTGCCCCTTCCCAATTTCTTCTATTTTTTGCATACTTGTCACACTTGAATATTTCAGATCATCAAACTACCCAAGTAAACACAAAATGTTGTTTTTAAATGATAATTTCATTTATTGATGGAAAAATACTGTTCAGCCCTACCTGGCCTTAGGTGAAAAAGTCAACCAAAGTTAGTTTTAAAGTTAACCAAATTCATGTGACTATTGGGTTCAATTTCACTAGCCACACCCAGGCATGATTACTGCCAAACCTGTTGAATCTTGATATCACTTAAATAGAACCTTTCTGGCAAATGTAAAGCAGGCTAGAAGGTCTCAAAAAGCATCACATGATACTATGTTCTAAAGAGATTCAAATACAGACACAAAACAAAGTCACTGGAAAGGCTTACAAAGCCATGGCTAAGGCTGTGGGACTCTAGCAAACCACAGTGAGAGCCATCATCCACAAATGGAGAAAGCATGGTACAGTGGTGAACCTTCTCAGGAATGGCCAGCCTACCAAAATTTCACCAGGAGCGCATCAACGACTCATCCAGGAGTTCAAAAGAATGCAAATGAATATCTAAACAACTGCAGGCCTTACTTGCCTCAGTGAAGGTCAGTGTACACGATTCCGCAGTAAGAAGGACACTGGGCAAAAATGGCATCCATGGGAGAGTTGCAAGGTGCAAACCATGTTGACCACAAAGAACATAAAGGCTCGTCTCGTATTTGCCAAAAAACATCTAGATGACCCCCAAGACTTTTGGGATAATATTCTGCGGACTGATGGGTCAAAGGTGGAACTTTCTGGAAGATGGGTTATATCTGGCGAAAGCTAACACCGCATTTCACCATAAGAACGTCATGCCAACAGTCAAACATGGTGGTGGTAGTGTGATGGTCTGAGGCTGCTTTGCTTCTGCAGGACCTGGATGACTTGTCATAACTGATGGAACCATGAATTCTGCTCTGTATCAGAATATCCCGAAGGAGAAGGTCCGCCTGTCAGTTTGTGACCTAAAGCTTAAGCGCAGTTGGGCTATGCAGCAGGACAATGATCTGAAGCACACAAGCAAGTCCACCTCTGAATGGTTCAAAAGAAACAAAATCAAGGTTTTGAAGTGGCTAAGTCGAAACCCTGACATGAATCCCATTGAGATGGTGTGGCAGTACCTTAAAGTTGATGCATGAAAACCCTCCAGTGTAGCCAAATTCAAACAATTCTGCAAAGAAGGGTGGGCCAAAATTCCTCCACAGCGATGTAAAAGACTCATTGCAAGTTATCACAAACAGTTGATTGCAGTTGTTATTGCCAAGAGTGGCAAAACAGGTTTAGGGGTCAATTACTTTTTCACATGAGTGATGTAGATTTTAAATCTTTATCTTCAATAAAGAGGGAAAAAAAATGGAATGTATTAACCACAGATATTAATTTAAAAAAAAAAAAGCAAGGCTTTTAATAAATTCTGTATCCTCGATAAAGCTAGAGAAGTGCATTTGAAGACACTTCACAATATATACCCTACAAACAAGATAATAGCAAGATTCCAAAACATCAATTTTAGCTGCACCTTTTGTCCAGTGGATTGTGAGCCCATGCCTCATCTTTTTGTTGTTTTTACTTTTTGATCAGACTTATCAATTTTCTTTGCAAGAAAAGCAAATACTACCTTTATCTTAAAGCTGTGTGATGTAATATGCTACTTCTCTTATACAGATCTGGATGTGGAGTACATAGTAAATATTATGATCTTAATGGGTAAATACTGCATACACAAGTGCACATTTTGCACAACTTTTAGATAGGTAAATAACGAAAAAAAAAACTGATGTTATGAATGCCCCATGACTCCTTTTTTTTATCAGGAATGATAACATCCCATTATTTTCTAATTTCTTCATTAATTAATCGTTTCTGATATCTTCCCAATATCTTCCCCCTACCTATCCAATATCAGACAAAACACATGAAATTCTAGCACTCCCATTTCTTTTGAGCCTCTGTGCCTACCTTTGCTTTGTAGATAATGTGGACTGCGTTGTAGTGGGTCATCTGGCTCATGAATCCAGCAGGAGAAAGTTACGATCCACAGTTAGATGCATTTGAGCAGGTTGGAAGCCTGTTGGGCATGTGGAGTTTCAGGTGAACTAATAAAAAGTTTCAGACTAAAACTCAAAACAGCTAAACTGTCGCAGATTAGGTCCACACCAGTTCAGAGCCGTCGAGAACAGAGTAGCTTCCTCCTTTGTGCATTTTCATAATCCCAAGACGTAACAACAGATCCAGTACTGTCTAAAACTTGAGTCCTTGTGTAGGCACACTTTCCTTGTGTCTCTCTTCCTCACTCTCCTTGCTTTTGATTTTTATGCCTCCTCTTAAGCCTTCTCTCTCTCCCTTTCTCTACCGCTCACCCTTGGTGTGTTTCTCCCTCTCTCTCTCTTTCTCTCTCTCTCTCTCTCTCTCTCTCTCTCTCTCTCTCTCTCTTTCTGTCTCACTTATGCATGCTGAAATATGTAGTTCTACTGTTGTAGATACAGTGACACTTGTATAAGGGTCCCGTATATACGTTTGTTGTGACATTAATCTTATTTAAATCTCACATCACCTCTTTGAACACACACATAAACACACCTGAATATGCTAGATTAAGTCTTGAATAAATATTCAAGATTCATTATTATTATTATTATTATTATTATTATTATTATCAAAAAACCTGAAAGATACAGTGTAGTTGATCTTGAAGCCTATGATGTGTTTAGAATAGTCGCATGATATAATTAATGTAAATCTCTGAGTTCCTTGTGTCTGTTTATACTTGAATATCTAGTTTTTGCAATATGCTTCTTTCTGCTTGTTGTTCCGTATGCATTGCATGCCTTTTCATATTCAAAGGCATGCTGTTCCCTGTTGGGGACTGGCTAACATTACTTCAATTTCAGAATCCTTGCTCTGTCCTGGTTGTGTTCATTCATTATGAGTAATGGATTTAGGAATTGGTTCTGGTATTCTGTACAACTTTAATCAGATAAACTGCAGTATGCTTTTCATGAAGGTTCTTAAAGGATTCTTGGGGGGGTGGGGAATGCAACCAATAAGACATGAAGAACTCCTAAGACTCCGTCAGACTTCATTGCTGTCAACACAGCGGTGATACTAATAACTTCCAAAGGGGTCTGGAGGTTTTGCTGTGTACTGGTAAGATGCTTCCCATCCATATGCACAGCTTTGCAAGCTCAAATCCACACATGGTGCACTACACAAGACTGCTTACAATTCTAGAGGCCAGGAGGTTCTAATATGTACTCTGTTACTGATTCCTATTAAACTTCCAGTGGATTCACAAGGCTTCCATATTTGAAAGAAGTATATTTTTCCAAGATCTTTATTGATATGTTATCAGATCAAGAGCTGAACGTTTGTTAAATTTGCAGTTATTGACTTGTTGAGGGGTTATCTCTGCCAGTTTTCATCAAATAAAAATCCCTTGAAAAGAAGTAGACTGTTTAAATCTGCGTGTAAGGTACGTAGAACAAACCTGAGATGAAAAGTTTGACCTCATGTAGAGTAGAAAATGGGCAAGAAGTGCAGTTTAGTACTGGTGTGTCAGTTTCCTGTCCTGGAGGGCCACACTGCTGCAGTCTTATGTAGCATACCTGACCCAAGTCATTAGGTAATAACAAAGGCCTTCATGAGTTGAATTCAGAGTGTTAGAAGAGGGAAAAAGTTCTGCAGAGCTGAGACCTATCAGGACCCGAGTTTGACTCCGCTGGTATAGTGTGTGTTTCATGTAGTACTAGATGCAATTAAGTTATCTTTCCTGTCAGAACAACACTTTGTATATTCAAAATGGTCACTTTACAAGTAGGAAAAAATGTTCTTAACTTTTAATAAAGTGTCAAAAGATTTTATTCCGAATGCACTTGGAGCATTTAAATTGGTCTGTTCATAATGAAATATTCACACAATGTAAGTTCCACCTGGAAAATATATAAAAAAAAAGGCAAAAATGGAGATTCAAGGTTTTGTCCTGACAGCGGCAGTACATAATGTGAGTGTGAGGAGGAGATGAGTTAGCTCAAGCAAATGATTATCTTGCTGCTGGTGACTTGGTTTGCCACATTACGTGCCATGGAAGTGGGACAGGAAGTAACCGGAGTATAGTAGTATTTCAGACTTAGTTTTAAATATTCTTTTTTTTTGCAATACTGCATCATGCTGTAATAGCTCCACATATTGTCTACATTGTGCCTTTATACTGAATCCACCTTTTTTGGATCCTCCCTTATAAGTCTGCTCTGTTTTTATGGCTGCCTTCATCCTGGCAGTCAAAAATGCCAGATTCATGCATGTCCAAGACTCCAAAGCGCATCACCTGCAAAGCTTTCATACCTGTAAAGGCTCCCCTCTGTGCCAGCACTTGATATTTTATCTCTGGTAAAGAGAAAGTGAGCTCTTTCTCACTCTGTTGGACAGAGTACACAGACTGCAAGTCATTCTGCGGGAATCATTCACACGCACGCTGGAAAACTCAAGGCGTGGAATTTGCTCCCACTGTGAACTGGCAAATGAAAAACATACTGGACCAAAGCATCTGTGAGCCCGCACAGGAGTAGGCTGTACTCGTTGAAAAGAAGCAATTTAAAAAAAAACAATATGCAGTGTAAAGCTAAATTCACTCTACCTGGTGGTTTGTTGTCTATTTTACCTTTTGAGCTATTAGTGGACTTCAAGAACAGCATTACTTTGACCATGCTGAACATAGAATACCATGCAACATGTAAATGATCATTGGATATGTTTACATGCAAAGATTTTTGCCAATTCAGTTGAATTCAGTCCAATTATAGATTAAGACTGAGCTGTTTATATGCACACTCTACTCCACAGTCTGATGAAAATCTCTGTTTACATGCACAATACAAGTAATTAGATCCAAAATTACACGCTTGCGTAGAGTACCACTTAGTATAGACGTTACCATGACAACGAGCATCACGTGAGTCCAGTCATACTGAGGCAAGCAGCAGTATGTTACCTGAGTTTTCAGTTGGCACGCTTATGCTTTTAATTGCTTTAAAATAATGGTAAGTGCAAGAAATGTACTTTACATAGAGGAAGACGTCATGTCCTGCAATATTCTGAGCAGCTCATGATTGTGAGCTTTATGGCCATCCATCGTGCTAAATATTTTTAAGTCTTTTAAAGTTTGAAGCATAAACTTCATCACCTCTGCAGGCCAGTTTCTGGCTCCCGCCATGTTGAACATTATGAACTTCTGTTATGATGCAGATGCCGATGTGCAGAATGCACTTAAACTTTCCGACTGGGAATGTAATCAGATACAGATGTTTATTCTTCTATTTAATAGATTATTTACAGAATCACCCACCTTGTTAAATTGGATAGAAATTGTGTTCGGAATGGTCTCAATTGTACAAGTCTATTCTGATTGAGGTTTATACATGGACATATTCTATTCTGATTAAGCTATTAGTCGGATTATTAATGGATTATTAGGCTGCATGTAAACGTGGCTAATGCCCTTAAAAGACAATAGATCAGTTTAGGGCTGAAACAATTATTCTATATTGATTGATTAATGTCGACAATAAAAATAGTCAAGGACGATTTATGCTGTCAGTTTTTCCTTTACATTTTCACAGTGAAATCCAACCTAGAGTGAGGTAACAGCTTAACACGAAAATGGCAGGAGTTTACTTATAAAGTTGTACCTGTGCAAGCAGATAGCAAGAGAAAGAACGGCTGAAAGTTAAAAAAGAAGTTTGACCTAGTTTTCCACAGAAGCACCCTGTTACCTTCGACCACTGGCAAAGAACATGCTGGTGCCAATTCTGAAGCAGTGGAACTCATGTGAAAATGTGTCGTGAAAAACTGCCATATGCTTGTCCTGGGAACCTTTTCACACATCACTCGTCTAGTGAACTAGCACATTAAATTGTAAAACCAAATAAATGATGCTGCAGCCTGAAAAGATATAATGTTGATCTACATATTATTTATTATATCGCTTGCTTAGCTATTGCTTATTACTCACTGTAGCTCAAAATTATGGGCAGGCTTAAATAAAGTGCCACATTTTTTCAGCGGTGGTAATTTCACTCTTGGTGAACAGTACCTCAGTTTGTGAGAACATCGGCGAACATTTTATTTTTACAGCTCTTCACATTTACAGGCCATGTTTAAGCCATTTATTCAATTATTAATCAATTAATTCACATGAACTATATCAAAATATTTGTTTCTTGCAGCCCTAAACCTGTGGCACATCATTGTCATGATTAACTTGATGTTGAACTGTTGTTTCCTCAAGAAGCAAATGTAAGTACACTGAATCAAATGTGCCAAACATGCATGTAAGCTTTTTAAAGTAGACTTCTGCTGGCGCCTGTCTTCTGACATTTCTTGTAAAAGTAATTGTTTTTTTTTTTTTTCGCAAAGTCATTTTGTTGGAGATGCAAAGTCCATTGTCTGTTTTGACCTTCAATTGTGTTCAAAAAGTACAACTTGGGAGCACAATGGAAGGATGTGTTGGAATTGCTTGGGATGCACACCAGAGGCCACCGCATCACGAGGCATTATTTTCACTGGTCAACACCAGCACGTTCCATTGGATTTTCCTGAAAATGAAACTACATCTGTGTATTCATCTCTTCTTCTTGTCACTAAAGCCAAAAGAACAGAAAGACCGTACAAATGGGAGGTTCACATTTCTCATGCTGACCTCTTCTTACACAGACATGTAGTAAACATGGTGAATTATTTTCACTCTTGATTGAGTGAGTGTGGCCTTTGGATATGTCTTTGTAGGACTGTATGAATAAGTTGTCTTTCCTGTGTTTGTTCTTGATGAGAAGACAAGACCTATAACCTAAAACCTATAACCTTTGCTATTTTAGTTATTTCATATTGCAAGATTAGACAAAGTTATTCACTGATGTTTTGTAAAATAATCATTTCTATTAAAATCCAGTTATCTGAGAGTCCCTCATTCAGTGAAGACCTTGCATTACTGTAGCCTAAGCCATAGCTACCGAACCATGCTCCTGGTGATCTGTGGCCCTGCAGAGTTTTGTTCTAGCCCTAATTTAATACACCTGATCCAGTTAATCGAGGCCTTCGGGAGCATGTGAATATTAAAGCCAGGTGTTTTGGAACTAAACTCTGCAGGATGGTATTCCTCCAGGAGTGGAGTTAGGCACCTCTGGCCTAAGTGATCAGTCATAAGTTCCACTGATCTTTAAATGAGTTTCAGGTTGGAACGTGAGGTAGACCGTAGAAGTGTGCAAATTTTCACATCCATAACAACAAGGCTTTGGTGTAGTGTTAGAGACAGTGCATGTCCTCCCAGCACACCTTGATGCTGTACTCTTCAGTAAATACAAAGAAATGTTTTTGGTAAGATG